TTTCAAAATAATTTAATTACGCTTCATAAAAATCTCCCAAAAGGAAACATACAAAATAGTACAATTCTTAGACAATTACAATTCCCTTTTTTAAATTCATCTTTCATATATATATCTACAGTATTAAACATACTTTTAACCACTCCTTAAAGAAGTGCCAATTATTTTTGGCCGATTTTATTTTCTGAATTCAGATATCAAATTTTTCTTCTTTGAAGAGAAAAAAAAAATTGAAGATTTTTTTAAGATTAATAATCTAATCAACTGCTCCTCCTCTTTGAATCGATGTTGTGCAGGTTTAAGTTTCTACATACTTTAGGGATTCTACTCACATTTGTGCCACAAAGAATTGATTTCAATTCAGAATTAATCCAATTTTATATCTTCTTTTGTAACCGAAATTATATTAACCCTTTGACTTCTAATAGAATGGTTCCTAATTTCTTATTACAATATCATCCCTGAATCAAACATTAACGTTAGAAGAATAAACGAAATGATCACCAAATAAAAAAGCTCTTGATTGCTTTCCTCCTTAAACGTTTGTAATTTAGGAAAGCTTGTGATCCGTTATGCAAAGATAGCTGATGTTATAGAGAGTACAAGAAATTTTGGCAAACAAGCAAAACACTTAAAAAGAGCAATTGTTTTTTTTGTCTTATCCACATTACGAAGTTTGGTGTAGGCATGGCGATGCGTATGATTAAAGCAAAATGGTTTTTAACCCTTTAACTGCCAGGAGTGACTGGTATATGATTTCTCCTTACGGTGCAGTACTGAATCAAAGTCAAAAGTGATGAGAATTGAGGAAGTGATCATCAACTAAAGAAGCTCTTGATTGTTCAACAAATTCTCCTTGTCAGAACCTTAGGAAATGATTAGAGCACAGTATGGAGAAAGTGCATATTGATGTTGGGGTGTAAAGGGGTAACTCTCAAAATGACGTAGTATTCACACCTTCATCAACAATAAACGGACAATACTCTTCAGGTGACGTTGGAAGGAAAACTGCAGGTTTGGATTACGATTATGAAATCCTGAGCATTAGAAGAAATTTGGCCTGCAGAACAAAAACGAATTCTCGTCTTAATACCAAACTGAAAGAGACCCTCGCTAGCTGCAGACAACAAGGCACAAATCAACGGTAAAATCCAGAGTCAATGCCTCTATTGAACTAATTCTTTTACGGTGTTCTTAAGACATAGCTTTCCTAATGTAACGCATACCATATCAAGGCAAAAATTGTCAAATTTTCATCGCACTTTTGCATACGATTCCAATCATTTAGATGATGAACGAAACTCGACTGTTACTCCTCCAAGAAGGTCTGTCTCATGTTACACCAGATGGCAATGCAACTACGATGCAAAAATCTCCTTTTTCCTAATAAACTATCGAAGCGAGAATCATTTTTTGTGATTGTGACCAGAAATTGACGAGCAGACGAACACGGATGACGCAACGGGGATAGCGGTCGTCATCCACCGATGTGGCTCTTGTGAAGCTCTTGTTCAGAGTTAGGAGAAGTTAATGACACTTTGCTCCCTTGATACATTCATTCCGTTCGCTCATTAATCGTTTCCTTGTTCGGTCGCTTCATCATTCGTACGAATGTTCGTTAGTTCATTCGTACGTTCGTCGGGTCGTTCGTTCGGTCTTCGTACGCCCGCTCGATTGTTCGTTCGCAGCTTCGTTGCTTCATATGTTCTTTCAATCTTCGTTCGCTCGATCGTTCGTTCGATGATTCGTTGATTCATTTTGCTCGTTCCTCGGCTCGTTCGTACGGTCTTCGTTCGCTGAACCCTTCTATGGGTTCGTAGGTTAATTTACTCGTTCGTTCTTCGTTAGCTCGCTAGATCATTCAAGGTAGGTTCGTCCCTTCGTTTTTTCTTACATTCGCTATTCCATTTGTTCGTTTTACACGTTCATTCGTTAAAAGTCACGCACACTATAAGGTAGAAGCATATGTAAAAAGTGAAAGAAACGCAAGAATGTCACCTTTTTGCTTGTCTCTGTCTCAACTTTAGCCTGGCAGCTAACCTTGTCTTCTTCTCCTTTAGAATATTCAACAATGCTAACTGAAAAAAAAGCAAAGTTACACTAATTAAACTCTTCTCATAAACCTTCGAAGGACATCCCAAGGACATCCCAAGTTTATGAAAGCGATTGATATACAAGTCGCTTTTATTACATGGATTTCTAAAAAATTTAGAGTGATTTCCTTTTGGATCTAAAAATTTCTTTTTCTTCTTCAGGAGCAGTAATTTATAACTACGCTTAATGGCGCGCGCACATATTTGCGTTTGGTATGACGCGACTAAAGGAGTAAGTTCTCTATCTAGAGGGAAGTCCCCCTCCCCCTCCCCGAAAAAAACAAGGAGACGATCCTTGCAGAAGCAGACTGTTGGCATCCTTTACCTTGAAAAAGGTTCTGTTAAGGTAGCGATTGGTAACGTGTGTGGGCCTGAGACTATCAAAATAGAACTTGGACGAAGAAAGGAAGGTAGATACTGCCAGATTGAGTGAAAAAGAAAACGTTCCCTTCTGTATAAGGATAAGATGAAATTAAAAAATTAAGCGCTCGCATTTAATTTTACAGCGACAAACCAAGCGTAACCATATCGGCAAATGAGAGCTAAGAAAATAACACCACAAGCCAATGAAAATTTGAAGTAAACACGAGTCACTTCAAGCGCGGGAAAACACGAGTCTCCAAATCGTGATTAGCTCGCTCTTTACATTCTTATTGGTTGCAAAAACTGGCGCGAAATTGCCGGAGCTATCGTAAAGTATTGCAAGGCAAGACCAATGCATTTGATTACTTTGGACTCTGCACTGAAAATTGCTTTCTCATGGGCGTTTCCCCAGATAAAATTTAACATTCTAAAGAGAATCTATAATGGTTTAACGGAAAACGGACTCTTTTTTTCAAATTTGCTCTACCTGTTGACAGAAAGGGCAGAACCAGTCTCCCTGGGGCACGGTCAGCAGAGGAGGACGAAGGCAAGCGGTGTGGTACGCAGCATCGCACTTATCGCAAAGTAAAATCTGTGACAAAATAAAACAAAAATTAGTAACAAGCCTCTGGTCGAAGTAACGACAATATAGTCATGGTTTTCAAGCTGTATATCCTGTACGAGGTAAAATGTATCTTTCCTTCTGATCTTTATTATATCTATAAGTTACCACGAGCGCTGTGCAGCAGAGGGCAGCCCGCCATAACTTAAAGCTGTTTTCGGTTGCCAAACTCTGCTCCTCAGGTGGGCAATGCAAGTTAAAATGTTTACTTTTTATGAGCTGTGCTCAAACGTGTTGAAAGTTTAGCAACAATTTAGAACCAACTACCGTCCCTTTAAATTTCTTTTTACTTAACTCTTTATACCCGAACATCAGTATTTATATCCTCCATACTGTTCTCTATACATTTACTAAGGAGCTGACATGGAGAATTTGTCTAACAATCAAGAGTTTCTTGAGTTGGTGATCATTTCCTTTATTCTCATGACATTAGTGAGTGATTTAGTGGTGATATTGTGAGGAGAAATTAGATGTTAGTCACTCTTAGGGGTTAATAGGGTTAAGGGAAGGGTTTAGCCTCAGTGGTTAGCTTTACCAACTCAATTTTTACACCACAGTAAAATTTCAATGAACTCACCGAATCTGGTCTGACATTTGAAAAACATCTTGCACATGGATTGTCATCGTCGTAGTCCTCCTCTTGTATTGATTCTTTCTTTTTGCCTACAGATGACAGCAAAAAGAGAGGGAATCGTGTTGTAGAGAAGTAACTTATAAAATATTTTTGCGAGGTTAGCTACACGTGTTTTTATTTTCAATTTCTTTTCAAACATTTCTATGGAATTCTATCCGTAATGTATATTTTGAGTGGAAAATACAAAGATCTTGGAATGGAATATGCTTTTTGAGGGGAAAATGTTTATGTTAAAATGCTCCTAAGGTGAACTGTAATGAATATCATACATGTCCTGTTAACCTTTAAACTCTCAGAAGTGATTAACATGAAACTTCTCCCTATAATATTCATACATCATCCAGCAGAGGGCAAATGAGAATACCTAAACTTATCAGGTAGAAGTTGTTATCTAGATCTAATACCAAATTCCCCTTACTTATATGCCAGGAATTGTGTAAAAGCTGGAGGGGAGAATTAACAGTCAGATATTGGGAGTGAATGGGTTAAAATACTGCTTGAACCTTGGAAAAAGTGTCTCGTGAGGGATAAAAAGAAAATCTGGCAAAGAAGGTAGAAAATTATTGTCAATATTTCCCTGTCTATTTTTTGTCATTAAATTATGCAGCTCAGACAGGGGGTTACAAGAGGGCTTATCATTTCCGAACTGGAACTGAAACTCTTAAAATCTTTCTCAGTGTCCAATTTGCAGAACCAACATTCCAAGACAAATTAAGCAACAGTAGACCTTTCTCAAAAGCACAGATCTCCATGAATCATTCATAATTTTATCAAAGATTTGCTATGGCAATGAAAAAAAAAAAAACCTTCCAACAGAACTTACTTTTTCTTCCTCTTTTTTTCCCAGGACTCTTTATTTCTCCTTTCTTTTTCATCTCTTCTCTTTTTGCAAGGGCTATTTCTTTGGGATTCACAACAGATTTGGTTTCCAAATATTCTACAATAGAAGCTAGTTCATCTGTCTCTCTGCAAAACAATTGAATACTTGTCATAATCAACAAAGCACGTTTCAAGTTTGTCACAATGTTCCAGTTGGATATTCAACAGTGGTAGAGCCAGAGGGAGGTTCCAGGAAGTGCACACCTTTTGTTTCAAACCTGTGGCTCTCATCTCACATCAAAATTCTTGCAAAAACATGAGTGCCTGTTACTTGTCGTGTAAAAATTGTAAAAAAAAATTTCTTTGCTCTTTCCATCAAAGTTTGGACCCCCCTCCCCCCCCTCCCCTGAAAGATTCTTGGATACATCCTTGCTCATCCAATCACAAGTGAGAAGCAATTCATGCACTGCTGGAGAAAGCAAGGTGCCCTTGGTTGAGCAATTCAAACACTGCAACTCTAGCATCCTTCAAAAATAAACTTGAAAAATTCCTAATCAACAATGTTCACACCTATGTGCCTTGTTCATTGTTGCAAATTTGTACAAACTTTTGCTGGACTTATATCGTGGTCCCATTTAATTTTTCTTGCCATACAAATTGGTGTATTTAACTTAGCTGATCATGCTTCCATGTATAATTTTTTGTTGTAGTGTGGCAAAAAAATTGAAAAACAAAGTAGGGCAAAATGTGGTCAGCTCCATATTTTTAAAGAGATGAAGAAGGAAGGTAATTTTCGAGCTGGGACACAATAAAAAGGGATTTTTGTTATAAGCATCGGATGAAGAAAAATCAGATTCAGTCGTCTACCTGGCTAACAATCTCCATGATTCACAGCTCACTTCATCTTCTTCAGTAGTGTACAGCCTCACACCATTGGCACCATCCTATAATTTAAAAAATGCATTTCTAAAATAGCAAATTAAGTTTTGGTCACTATTCAGGCCAGTTAACCAGTTCCAAACTAAACTAGCCAATACTTTATATAATATTGCATTAACTTCAATCATTATTCCTACAAAATGGATTACAATGTATTACTAGCACCAATGTCTATGACCTTTTAAATCCACTTTAAACTTGTTTTGAGGAAAGGCAAAAAACCTTTTAAAAGGACAACACAAAACAAAGTTTACATAATGCATCATAACACTTTTATAGCCAGGATTTGACTTGTAAGTACTTTTTTTTTAATGACATCATCATGTCATCCAGCAGAATAGTAAAAAGATGATGGAAGATATTGAGTTCAGGATGAAAACAGAAATTCTCAGAACTAAACTTATGTGAAATGAGTAGAAGATAATATGAAGAACTGCCATTGTGATCCAAATGTTATTAAAAATCTAAATGGTGCAGTTGGGTAAGGTTTGTCACATGTATGCTCAGAGAGAAGATTATGATTCATTCTTGATCATCAACATTGTGATATCAAGTCTGTGAAGTTGAAATACAGTTTTCATCACTGCATACATGTTTGCATGTCTGCCAAAATGTCAATGTTATTCCACAATTCATAAAAAATAACACCAAAAGCTGCAGAAGAGCAGGATTTGTTTTCTAACATGGTTCCAGAAATATGCTCAAATTGTAAAATACTCAAAAGTGAAAGGTCAGTTTTCCACAGACCACATGTAAATGAAAAGATTCCTTGTACAAGTAGGTCAAGTTGAATTTGGCCTTGCCTTCACAAAATTATGAGGAAAATACTAGTGCTTATTATGCAATCACTGTTTTATGTTATTTAAGTTATCTTTTATTTTTCCATTTTTTTCTAATTACTGGTAAGAATCATTTTTAAGTGAAACTTGCATCTCAAGTTAGTGCATCAAAGAGGGACCAACCAAAAAGCATGTGTATGTAGTTGTATCTAGCCCTTTAAACCCTAACATCAGGATGCATATTCTCAATACTTTCACCATACATTTCCTAAGGTGCTGACCAGGAGAATTTATTTCACAATCAAAAGTTTCTTTGATGTGATCATTTCCTTTATTCTTGTGTCCTTAATATGTCATTCAGGGGTGATATTGTAAGGAAAAATCAGATACTGGTCACCCCTGAGGCCAAAGGTTTATATTAGGCCAGAATAATTTCAAACTGGGTTAATTCATACCCTTTATTTTGTCTGGGAATTATAACAATTCACCAGAAAGAAAGGAAAAGTACAGACTTAACCAGCTATGAATTACTTTCACCTTCACCCTTTAACTCCTGTGATCTGATTGTTAATTCTCCCCTGTAGCTGCTAGACATTTCCTTGTAAATTTGTTATGGGAACTCAGTGTTTGATTTTGATAGCAGATTCTACCTGATACATTTGAATATTCTCATAACCTGTTTGCTGAATAATGTACAGCTACTATAGGGAGAAGATTCATGTTAATCACTTTTGGGAGTTTAAGGGCTACTGGTCATAAATTTTTGAAGTAAAACAAATTTACTTATTACCTCATGATACCAATATATAAACCCATCTAGATCCCGTCCAATTGGCTGCATTCGCAATTCATCGGCTTCAAATGTTTTGTTTACAGAGCTCTTGAGCTTTTCATTCTGATCAAACTGACTCTCCAGAAGTAACTAGAAGATAACAGATTAAAGATATATTAAGTTAAATCTTTAAGACAAGCTAAACAAACCAAATTGAGAAGAAAGCATTAAAATTTAACCCTTTCAATCCAGGATCTTCTTAGTAATTCTCCTCACTGTCTACCATACAATTTTTATGATGTTAGTTCAGGGAATTTGGTGTTTCATCAACTAATACTTTCCTAATTGATCTTTTTCTTTTATTCTCATCACTTGTCTGCTTGATATTGGATTGACATTATAAAGACAAATTCTATCTTGGTCACTCAAGAGAGTTAGAAGGTTAAAGAAATTGATTCTTATAAGGACACAAACCTTGAAAAGTTCCAGTTTGGATGAAACTTTAAGTTCTTCATAACCAAATTGTTCCAAATCCCATGCACAGTCCATGCTGTGTTCTTTAGCAACCTGAAACAAAGATGCTGATGAGATGCTGCATGTAGTTAATCAGAGGTTGTTCCCCTTCCCCTTCCCCTACCCTCCAACATTCATCAGGTTCCCCCCTGACAGTATCCATGCACGTGTGCATTTATACTCCTTGGTGAATGCCACAGGCACTGTGAGAGTAAAGTATGTAACCCAAAACGACATAGTGACCCCACAAGGTCTTAATTATCCCTTTAACTCCTAAGAGTGACTAACATCAAACCTCTCCTTACAACATCACCCCTGAATCTAACATGGAGGTCATGAGAATAAAGGAGATGATCACCAACTAAAGCAGCTCTTGATTTTTAAACAAATTCTCCTTGTCAGCCTCTTTGGAAGTGTCTGGAGAACAGTATGGAGAATATGCATACTGATGTTAGGGTGTAAAGGGTTAAAACCAGACCCCTTAACCCACAGATCATTGCGCTAATCATTAGGCTATCATGTTTTGAGGTAGTTTCTCCTTATTGTCTGCTATACAGCTTTTGTGATGTTGATTTGGAGAATTGGTATTGGATCAACTTACAATCCCTTGACTGATATTTTTCTTTATTCTCATTACTTGTCTGCTTGATATTGTATTGAAATTGTAAGGAGAAGTTCTGTCTTGGTCACTCATGGGAGTTAAAGGGTTAAATGCATCAGTAGAGTTCATAATCACTGATAATTATCAGTAAGGTTTTATGGCTAATATTGAAAAAGCATGGAGAATACCATGGCCCAATATCAATACCAATTTCTTCTGGAGGAGGAACGAAGGGGGTCCTTGTTTCAAATAAGGAGAGAATGGTTGGGGCTGGGGTTGGGTGCATGCTCAAGAGAGTAAAGGCTGCTCAATAAATAGTATAAAAATTTTTAAAAAGTTTCAAAATTCTCTTAAGCCCCAAAAGTGGTCACCATCAAATTTCACCTCACAGTAAATTATCAGCACATCATCAGAATTACCAGTGAAATATGAAAAGAATCAAAGAATAACCAGTAGCCAACAAAGTGACTTTCCCCTGATCTTTATCAAATTCTCATAATAATTTATAGAGGACAATAATTGGAGGTAAGTCAAGAGAATTTTCACAACAAATTCGCGCACAGGGCTTAAAGGGTTATCAAAGCAGTATTCAGTGACAACAAAGTGATTCCTAAGTAACCCTTTAACTCCCAAGATCTGATTGTTAATTCTCCCCTCCAGCTGCTACACATTTCCTTATAAATTAGTGACAAGAATTTGGTGTTAGATGAAGATAACAATTTCTCCTTGATAACTTTGGGTATTCTTATTACCTGTTTGCTGGATAATTTATGGATATTATAGGGAGAAGTTACATGTTAATCACTTCTGAGAGTTAAAGGCATTTTCTAGAGCATGTCCTCGAAATATTTTTACCAGAGCACAAATCATTAAAGGATTATGATTTGGCAAAATCTAAAATAATTAAATTTGGTTTGCAAAAAATGCTTTAAAAACATTAGACCATGACTTGACAAATGTGCTCACAGTGATGGGATCACACCAAAACAGTTTAAGAGTAGATCAAGGGCCTGTTTTTAACACTTTAACTCTCAGATTAAATTTGTAATTCTCCTTACTGTCAACCATACAATTCTTATAATATTAGTTCAGAGAATTTAGTATTGGATCACCTCATTATCCCCAAATTTAGATTTTTCTTTATTCTCATCACTTATCTGGTTGATATTTTATTGATACTGTGAGGAGAAATGCTATCTTAGACACTCAGGAGAGTTAAAGGGTTAACTTGTTCAAGGCATTAATTACTACTTTCTTGAATTAGTGCTCTTAACACAAACCTTCAGTAAAGATTTCTCCCATTTTTCCACATTAACAGAGATCCCCAATCGTCTCAAAAGCTTCACATATAATTCCACTAGCATCTCAACATTACCTGCAAAAATATAAAATTATATATGTGATCAAAATGACATGAAAGACATAGTTTTTGTAGTTTAAAATTAGTTCAGGTTAAAATGAATTCAAACCAGTTCGGTTCCTGTTTTTCTATTTTTAACCTTTTTAATCCAAAGATCTCATTAGTAATTCTCCTTACTGAATGCCATACATTTCTTATGATGTTAGTTCAGAGAATTTGGAGAATCTGGATTTACTAATAATCTCCTTATTGATATTTTTCTTTGTTCTCATCACTTGTCTGATATTGTAAGGAGAAACTCTGTCTTTGTCACTTAAAGTGAAAGACATATCCAACTAGTTGTGGCAATTTTGAGCAGAAATTCATTTCAAATTGCATTAAAGCTTTCTACATAACAACAATTTCAAAGATGTCCAACTGTTGACCAAAAACAGTAATATTATAAAACAGTCCATTTTACAATGCAAGGAATAACATCATTTGGTAGATTGTTTGATGACATGGGCGACATCTTCACTTGTATTAAAATTTACAACTGCTGTACAATCTTACCAAAGGTTAATACTGGTTAAATCAAAAGAACTTCTGAAAGATTGTTTAGTAATCAAAGATCTAAAAGTTCACCTTAAAACCCTTAATGCTAAATAAAGCAAAAATAAAGAAAGTTGAGAGAGATTTATATAATTTTTGCTTTTACAGTTTCCTTTTAGATAATATCGTCCACAATCTTCTGCTAGTCAACAATCAATTCATGAAAATAGAAAGAAATTACAGGCACAACTTTACTACATATCTTGATAAACTTCACTTAGTAACAGTTGTGTGAATAAAAAAAATTTACCCGCAAAAAAGCCTTTAAACCTCTGGCCTCTTCTCCAGCTGTTTGGAGCAAGTTTCTGCCTCTCCCCTCCCCCCTAACTCACTGAGAAAAGAGGGGAGAGGTATGAGGCACTTATTTCTTTCAGTCAGGAGTTCATTGAAAGACAACTGTTTGGACTTCTCCCAAAAGGAGGTCACCAAAGTCTTTTAATTTTTCGAGTGAAAATAAAGTTTAAGTTACAAAATGTGAGATCCAACTAAACCATATTCATTTTTTAACTGAAGATTTAACTATAATTGTGAACTGGAGTAGATAAATCACAAAAAAAATTCCCACAAACACCAACTCCTTCTTATATACATTGAAAAGGAGATCAAAGACAACTGAAAGATTAGTTTATGAGTCGAAAACAAGAACTGGATTTTTCTTACAAGGACTTATCGAATTACAACATAGACTAAAAAGATAATCGTTTAAGATAACATTAAGACGAAATTTCCACAAGATCGTTATAACAGCATCGAACCCAAACAATCCAAGCACAAAATTAAAAATTCAAACTCGCCCAAAATGCATAAAAACATGGACTCTTATGTAGTCATAGTATTTATAAATATAAAGCTTGACACCGAATTGCTTTCACCGCATAACGATGATCGAGAAATCCACAACGTTGCACGCAAAAGTAATTTCTTAGGTAAAGACAAAACGATAACCATAGTATTTACACGTTAATCTGGAAACTACAAAGTCATCCGAGCTAAAATCGTCAAAAAAGTCACAATTGACACTCCAGTGAAATTCTGCAGCTGTTTGAAATAAAAGCGCTTTGTTCGCGCGTCTAACAAAAGCTTCGCCGTATCACACGAATATAAGCGATCTTGCATAAGGCGTTGTCATTTGCAGCCTAAAAACAAAACCGCAAGGCTATGAAAGCCTTCAAAAGTGTCATCATGTGTCATTGAAGTAAAAGAACTCGTCCGTTTTTGCAGAAACAAGTCCTGAAATTTACAACTAAATGAAGAAATTGACATCAATTACCATTTTCCGGCGAATGGTTGTTAAACCCATCCTCCAAATTGTCCAAAGTTAGGTCAGGAAAGTGTAAAAGGTGTTTAAAATTCACCAGAAACGACCAGATTATTGCAAAGTCGGGATATTCGGCAGCTTGTCCGGTGTTGTGCACGTCCAATCTTATTTCCCCGGCATCTTCTTCGGGATCTACTTCGCTGCTTGCTGGAGTGGACGCCATTTTGATTGACAATAATATATGTTTGTACCCAGATCATCTCTTATTTGCATTTTGCTATCTCCAGGCCACCCGAGGGAAAAACATAATTATGGCGCGCTTTCAAAAGCGAACAACGCGATACTCTGAAAGCGGATCATATTTCGTTTAAGGTTTCTGGCAGGATTTTTTTTCGTCGTTGATGTTGAAATTGTGACGCCCATTCTCAGTTTCCAGGGTTCTATTTAGAGATGGTAAACAACAACAGCTCTCAGTTTTGGCCCGTTTGCGAACAGGCACAGGGAAACAAAATGGGGTTTGGAATTTAGATGTTAGAGACTCACACCGTAGAAAATCTTTTCATACAAGGAATATAACAAATTGGGTATATTTCTAATGGTACTAGAACATCTCATTTACCCTTTCTGGAGCATTTTATCATTCGTGAATTATTTATGAAATACGCTTGATTTTAAAGACGCTGACTTGGCACAAGACTAAATGTCTAAGAACTTCTTAAAAGTGGTCAAGTGTGCTCGACATTTATTATTTTCATCAGGGCTTCTATCGTCCATCCCAGGAGTTCTCTTTGGTCATGGAATACAAGAATTTGTATTATTGCCACAGACAACATAAGTTTAGGATGGTAGTGCCTAGTATATCCTGATAACAAATTCATTTCCACGTTGGTGACCAGTCAAAGTTTGTCGTCCGGAGGGGAGGGGAGGGTGGAGGAATTTGGGGGATCACATAG